AGTCCCTCCCGGATGACCGAGCTTCTCACCCTATCTCAAAGGGAGAGCCCAGCCACCCTTCGGCCGCTTGTATCCGTGATCTTGTTCTTTCGGTCATGACCCAAAGCTCATGACCATAGATGATGGTGGGAATGTAGATCGACCGGTAAATCGAGAGCTTCGCTTTTTGACTCAGCTCTCTCTTCACCACGATGGACCAGTACAGCGGCCGTTTCACGGCAGACGCTGCCCCAATCCGCCTGTCGATCTCCCGCTCCCTTCTTCCCTCATTCGTGAATAAGATCCCCAGATACTTAAACTCCTCCACTTGAGGCAGGATGACCCCCCTGACCCGGAGAAGGCACTCTACCGTGCATACCCACTTTTTGCACCATTGCCCGAGCCCACTGTTTTCACACAATGGTATGATCCCATATTCTCACACATGATTGGCCACAAGGCTGCCGTACTAAATCAAAGCAAATTTCCGCCATGAGCAGAGTGGAATCTGCTCAGTGGAGCCACAGAAAGAGTGAGAGCTGAGCAGTGAAAGGAAAAATAGTGGGGAGATCTCTCTCTCTTTCTCTCTCTCTTTCTCTCTCTCCTGCTCGCTGTGCTGCTGTGTTTGTAACCCCTCCCTTATAATCAAAAATGGCTCTCAGTGAGGAGTCGGCTCCTGTCATTCACTTCAAAGGGCCGAAACGTTTGCAACCGACCAATCAGCATGATGAGTCGCTTTTTAGGATTTATCTAATAAAGTGAATGTGGAGTCAGTTTGGGTGTGTGTGTACCTGTCTGCATGCAGCACATATCTGGTCCATCAGTTTCTCCAGGTTGGTCCATAGAGCAGCACGGAATGCTGCCGTGTTGCCTGGTGTAGGCATCACTGCTCTCCCAGGAGCTCCTGGGAGGAGGATAAGCAGTGTTTCTGTTTTTAAAATCATTCAGATCAGAGTCAAAATATACTGCTCAAAAAAATAAAGGGAACATTTCACTTTAATTTTGTGTGTGGCTCCAAATCCAGGCCTCCATTGGTTAATAAATTTGATTTCCATTGATGATTTTTGTGTGATTTTATTGTCAGCACATTCAACTTTGTACAGAACAAAGTATTCAATGAGAATATTTCATTCATTCAGATCTAGGATGTGTTATTTGAGTGTTCCCTTTATTTTTTTGAGCAGTGTACATAGCCCAAAACATGCTTGAAATGTCCTGAAATCCTAATAAGCACACTGAGGTGATGGTGATGAGACAAGTGTGAACTAGCTTTGCCTAAATGAAAACCTTTAAAATAAAAGAACAAGAATTTTGAAAAATCATTTGGGTGATGAAACACCTGTGAACTAGTTTTCCATAGAAGAGCAAAGATAAGATACTGTTGTTGCCATGGACTATTTTTGAACACTTAGCTCAGTATTTGTGGCAGCAGGACAGTCTATCTAGGCCTGAGATTGATCCAACTTCTACTTGTACTTCTACTCTCTATGCAGCTTTAGCTCTGATATATTGTATAAGGTTAGTTTCTGACAGGATCATAAAAATTGTTTTACTATTTATTAACTTAAATATCAACAAAGACTTTTATCATGCATTTTATCATGTCTGACTACACATTTGGAAAACTAGAACAGTAGTGCATATCACATTAGTGTGAAGCTTACATTTTTCCCTGGATTCAACAAACTATTCTCTATGGCCATGATATAATATTCTATTTCAGATTCAGCCAACTTATGAACTGGGCTGACCTAGAAAGTGCCATTGTCTTTTATCTTTCTGAAATGAGGGCAATGTGCTTAAACTGTGCTTAAGTCAAACTTCTATAGTAATTGAGCCAGTTATTGGTTGATTCTTACCTCTGGGGTTAGTTGGTTGTGTCAAACCCTTGATGTCAAGGGCTTTAGTGACATTATCCTTTATGGTGGTCTGATAACCCCCTACCACAGAGTTGATAGTCTCTCTTAAACTGCCCAAGTTATAAAAAACTTGCAAAGCTGTTCCAACCTGGGTTGGGTTCTGAGCAAAGAGAAAATAGAGGAAAAATATTAAGGAATAAAATGTAGACTGTGAGAAAATGCTCATGTAATTTTTATGTTCTTCCCTCATTGGCCTAACCCCCACGTCAAGCTCAGAAAACTTACTGGACAAAAGCTAAATGTAAATAGTTCTTTTAATAGACCAGTAACTCTGGACTGCAGGTATCTTTTCTGTGGTGAGCATTTCATCAGCAGGGCAGAATAATTCCTGAAAGACGAGCTTATAGTAATTGTACTAAACAGGGTGTGAATCTGGCAGCACACACCAATCACACCACTGGCGGTGTCTGCATGTTACCTTCCTAGCTCGCTGTCACAGTCTGCATCTCTGAAGTTCACCCCAGCGTGGTTTGTGCCCCACAATTCACTCAAGCTGGACAATGTGGAAGGTGTTCTTGCAGAAAAGCTTCACCTGTATCGGGATTTATATTAACCCCTATGAAGAATCATTTTTCTTTGGTGAATCCTTCATCAAAGTAGGTGTCAAGT